AATGATGGTGCCAAAATCATCCACAAGTGCCGGGATTAAAGAAAGAAATAACCGAATGCAAATTGAGTCAAAGATCCATCTTCCAGTAGGATAATGACCTTCCACAGAAAGTCAACTTTAAATAAAAGTGGTTAAAAGAAAAAAAGTATATATTTTAATAGCAGACTCAAAAACAAGACTGCAATTCAATTGAGAATTTGTGGCAAGGTGTTTGGAGTTCACCGCTGGTCTCCATTAACTCTGTTAGATTGATTTTTTTTCTAAATGAACAAATGTGGTGAGACTTACCCAGACATTCGCAGTTGTAGCTGGACTTACCACAAGGATGATAATCACTCCATTTGGATTAGAACAGCAAAGTCTTAAAAGAGAGTATAATCTATTGCTGAATACGGGGTGGTCAAGATATTGTTTTATAGGCTTCAACAGACTGGTTAGTGCCAAATCATCTGTGGAGGAGAGATTTGAATATGCCAGACTGCCAATTTCTGGTTCTGCTGGAATCCAGATAGTATGCTAAATGTTTCCAACCTCTCAAATCTTGTTGAGTAAAATGAATAAATTCTTCCCGAAAATAACTCTCCATGCTTTGATTGCTTGGAGGTGGGAGAACCACTAAACACTCTGATCCACTAAGCTTTAATTACTAAGCCCCAACATGGCCACCTGGTCACTTGGCCAGTCACTGCTATTGTAAGTGTTAGGACAGAGGGGGCAAATGGATGAGCAATTGCCCACTTACGCCAATATCTCTCAGTTGGAAAAATAGCTAAGCTGGGAAAATCGTCTATTTGACCTAAAAAAACTTGATTTCTTTTTAATTTCTCCATAATTCTTGCTTTTAGTGAATAACCCCAAAAGTGAAAGTTCTTCTTTGCCAGATGGTGTCGATGTTTAAAAGTGGTGCATGGAAATAGGGGGGAGCCTAACTATGAGAGCATTACGGCCAACGTTGGTAAAAATCAAAAGGAATGCTTGAGGTTCTGTATGTATGTTAATTACTGTATAGGTCATGTGTTTTCTTTAAATTAAAAGCTGAAGTCTGTATTGAAATATATTTGCTATGTTTTCGAAATGTATTTTTATTCCAGTGATGATTTCCACATGGTACGCACCAGTCATTTTGATCTTAGTTTTGGGCTTTATTTGTTATGTCTTCATTTGTGTTTTATTTTTAACGCGGTGAAATATTGTACATGGCAGATATATTATTTGCATAATGTTTTGGAAACAAAAACAGTATTCATCTGGATGTTCGGAATAACAAATTTACAAAGTATTTAATTGAACAGATTTATTAGTGACACCAGCTCGAATTTCTCACGACTGAATAGGTTTTAGAGGAAATGTAAAAGAAATGAGACGTTTCATTGCTTGGCACGGAATAGGCAGAGTTTAGAGAGGATCGTATGTTAAAAGAGTTACATTCACATGGCAAGGACATTTTGCCAGCCTAAATGCATGCATGCGGTCCGTGGTCTACATACAAAGGCAAATATTTACTTATATAAACACAGCACCCTCAGGGCAGTCTATGTCCTAATATGCATATTAAAGCAGTTTTAATTAATTTGAGCATCCATATTAAGTATCTGGATTGTTCCAGTATACTCCATCGGGTCTATTTACTAGACAGAGTTTCGGTAATGTGACAGCATTAAAAACAAAACAGCCCCTGTTATTCTGGAGCCCCTCCTACTGCGCAGTATGTGTTACAATAGAGGCGCACAACTCTTAATGTTAATAGAATGGGTTCACTAATGCGTATTTGCAACAAAGCGTTCGTTCAGAATGTCAGGAAACAGAGTAGCTAATTTGCAGTCTACAGGTACACTGAGATCCCTGCTGTGCAAGGATAGCAGATAACACCTGGCTGAGAGTTTGGAGATTTTGCCAATGTTAGGGGAGATTTATCAATGTTTTCTGTTCTATACAGGTGCAAAAAAAGCTATAAAGGGAAGGGGTCAACAATGAATGTGCTGGTTCCACTGATTGCATGGTGATTGTCCTGGTTTCAGTACTTTAAACCTCTTAAATAAATCACCCTTGTTGTGTATACCTTAACATCACTGGTAAAAACCAATGAATGGTAGAAGCAATTGTCTGTCCCCTGGCTGGTATTTCGGTTCTGGTTTACGCCAGTGAGTGGGAGCAGTCTGATATAATAACAGCGTCGGTCTACACTGAAACAGCATAAATTACATTTAGTTTTTAAAGCAAAAGCTATATCAATACACCTGGATAGTAGGTGAATCGCACAGAACAATGTCACAAAATCTGTCAAATTTGTCTGTGTGTCAAGGGGAGTAAAGGTATATGTCATAAATGCACAAAAATGCATATGCATAAGGGATTAATAGTAGCAAGTCAATGCTAATGAAAGTATTTAGAAAATTGGGCAGACTAGATGGGCCAAACGGTTCTTATCTGCCGTCACATTCGATGTTTCTATCATCAGGATAGGCAGACACATCACCAAGTATAAAGTATACTGTGTCCAATGATTGCTCCGCATTGTCATAAAAATGCTAAGTAATTTGAGACTGTTTTATATGATTGGGGGAACCCTGAGGTACGAACTAGTGCTGCTATGACATCCCAGAATTATCTACAAAAGTTTTGAGGAGGAGTGCATTTGTAAAATTAGTGTTGGACTTTATCAAGTGACGTGTCATTGTCACCGCTGTACGTGCCCCAATAAAGGATTCTTATTGAAATTGGAGATTTTTTGGACCTTATATATTTTTCCCTTTAAAGTAAACGTTAAACATAACCAGTGTTTGGCATTCTGTGTGATACAATCAAACTAACTTAATATGCAAATTATCTGCACACTCATACAATTGTATTTATTGATATTTTAATGGCGCCTTGGTGAAAAAGGAACTGAGAGGAAGATTTTCATAAGTTAAACATTACAGAGAGTGATTCGAAGTGCAAGCTCTTGTGTCATACAGCATTAACTCTGTTATAATGTATAGATTAAAGTTATTATGCTTTTGCAGTCTCTTTCCAGCACGATTTAGGGCTCCCTGTAGGGGACTTGGTAAAAGAAATCACAAATTTTATCAGGGTGTGGGCTGTAGGTTTTTGTTAAATCATAAAGTGATTAAACAATCATTAAGGTCAACATTCCAGTTTTTAAAATCGGCTGGATTGGAATAAGAAAATAAATGAATTGGTATATGTTGCAATTGAAATATTGCCGTCTTGTTACTTTGAATTTGCAATTATTGTCCCGAGTCCAAATGAGGCTCTCTTTATCCTTCTCTAGATAATTGTGAAGAGCTCTGTGTCTGCTAAATGCTTTTTATCACATGCTGTCTGTGAAAGATTGAAAGGAGCAGTTATTGAGAGGTTTATTATTCATACGCTTTTGAGTTTATCCATACGTTTGGTTCAGCAAGGCTTTTGATCACGGGGTACTGGTCTGGATTTAGGATTGCGAGTGATCAAACACACTGCACCTGGCGTAGTTCTCATGGACAAGGAAAATGTCCTTATCGCTTTTCAGACTTCAAGATCAAAGCCCTCCAGCCAAGTTTGCTTTCTACTGAGAAGGGTTTAGTAGGAGATTTTAGAAAGGCAATCAATGGCTTTGCCATTTATGAGTTTTTTCTCTGTTTATTAGTCAATCATACGCTTGAGAAGACTCATTGTTCCTTAACCCCTCTATAGTACGGGAGAGAAGGTCAACATATGACATAGTCCTATTCAATAAAATGGTCAGATTTTCCCTTTAGTAGAAAATGATTTATGGGGAAATGGTTTTTCGAAAGAGCAACAATGACTTTAAATGACTCCTTCAGTACATTATAAATGCCAAGGTTAGACATGCCCACCCTGTACTAATGCTGTTTAAATGTTAAGCAACATGTAGGTGTCACGTTATTGGGTTTGAAATAAAACTCACAGCCTGGAAAAAATGGAAAGATTTAAACATTCTTTTCTTTGATTGCGCTACAAAGAGGAAGTGAGTGATGTACCCAGACGGGCATGGAAGACCCGAGCCCTACATTGGATTGCAGGTAAGTAATATATTTATTTTACAGAGTGTACAGTAATGAGGGGGAAGGGGGAGATAGGACCAATAAATAAGAGCTGAATAAGGCATTGTAAAGACAGGCAAAAAAGGATTGGAGTGAAAAATAAGTCTATAGAACTATGACAAATAGTTAAATAAAAGAGACATGTATACCAATTTCAGTAGGAATTCTATATTGACATATAAGACCAGTTATCAGTGGAAATAATCAGGTTAAAAAAAAAAAAAGCAAGACGGAGAGAAGGGGACTTAAAAATCCCCTTGGACAGTTGTGGTGGACAGTTGAGTGAGATCTAAGCAGTTGTGGAGTTTCTGTGTATTCATTTGGATGATTTAAAAAGTACCTTATATCGGTGCTCTTTCAATTCAATAAGACAAATTAACATCTAATATTTAACCATGGTGACAAGAAACATTAGTCTTCTATTCACCCATAACAGACTTGTAGATAATGTTTTTTTTTTCCATAGATATCTCACACTTTGCATTCAACACTTTGATGACTAATGGCCTCGACCAACACCAAAAGCTCCTATTGCTCAGTATCCCTGCTTAACTTCCTTAGGAAGGTCTAGATTGGGTAGTATTGTGCCAGGACTGTCCCCAAAGATTATACTTTGGCTATTTGAAATAAGATAAAATTTTGGGAGCTAACCATAATTTTTAACATGTGAAGCTTGTCTATTAGTCCCCCAGGTATAATACACTATCTAAATATACATGGAACAACTGTGTCAGCATTTTGTTTTACAATTATTTGATGTGTTACATTTACGTTGCCCATTTTCGAGCACTGTGTTACTGAACTGTAACCAGACCGTTAAATTGAACCCAAAAACGTTAAAATCCTAACTTACCAGGGCTAGCCTAGATTCCGATAAAAAAAGGCTTTCCAAACCTCAGATCTAATCCAAACCATAATGAACCCATAAAAAATAAATAACATAAATCCTAAGCCTTACCTAAACTCCATTAAAACCCTAAATCGAACTTCAATTCAATCCAACTATTAAAACTTTACTACAAACAGAATAAATTTGATCTGTGAAAATGTAATTTGTGATGAACTGGATTTTTTTTGGATCAAACCTTATTGAAACGGGCATAATAACCTGCATACTTTAAAGCAATCTGTTTCTCATCTTTAAAAGGAAGCTGTTTCATGAGACGATGGTTGATGGCCATTGTTTGGTCTTTAGAACTGTAATCACTTTATAGCAACGAGAGAGAAACGGAGAATAAAATTCAAAATTGTGAAAATTCTTGCATTTGAGCTATTCTCTCGAAAAGGCTGACTGATTACCGCTGGTTTTAAAACATTTGTTGGTTGTAGGAAATACAATAGTGACAATTGATAAGTGATTAGAACTGGTACGTTTAGTTGGAAAGTTATAATTTTTCTCTTGTGCAAACGTCTTGGTACAAATACAGTTTGGATTAACTGGTTTAGTTTGCACAGTTCACCATCGCAGTATATGAGATTTATGCCCTCTACTTATTTATAAAATATTTTACCAGGAAAGATACATTGAGATTTCTCTCCTTTTCAAGTATGTCCTGGGTCCACAAAACATTGCATTGATACTTTATAGTACAATAAAATACAAATACAATATTAATATACAATATATACAAAATGTAACATAGAACAGGTAGGAAATATATAATCAACCATGACAGGTGCATTCTGTTTTGAGATATGTAGAGAGGGATCTCTTAAAGGACTTTAGGCCTGGGGAAGATTTTAAAGTGAGCAGGAGGTCGTTCCACAATTGCAGCGCTCTGTAGGAGAAGGAGGATCGGGCGCTTTCTTTTTGTATTGAGGTAGACTAAATAAAGTGCTAGTACTGGATCGGAGGTTATAGGAGGTGAGAACAGCCGGGGAGAGCATTCTGCTCAGGTAGGGTGGGAGCTTCCCAGGAAAGCTCTTAAACACAAGGCTGGAAAGATAAAGGGTGCGTCTGGATTCCAGTGACAGCCAGTTTATTTCTTTTAGCATGTCACAATGGTGGGTCCTGTAATTACATTGTAGCACAAATAGGCAGAACAAGTTATACGATGTATTAAGTTTATTAAGGTGGGTTTGTGGTGCAGGTACATATACTACATCCCCATAATCAATGATTGGCATCAGCATTTGCTGTACAATCTTTTCCTTTACTGTAGGGCTTAGGCAGGATTTGTTTCTGTAAAAGGCACCTAGTTTTGGATAAAGTTTAGATGCAAGTTTTTCTATGTGGAGGCCAAAAGATAGATTTAACAACATACCCAGGTATTTGAAAGAGTGGACTGCGGTCAGTGTGCCATTTGATTTTGTTTTGATGGATAGATAGGAATTGTGTAAAATGTGTAATTTAGGTACTGTTCCAAAGATCATTGTGACAGTTCTGTCAGTGTTTAGGAAGAGTTTGTTTTTTGTGATCCACTTTTCTACCTCTGTAAACTGGTCTTGGAGCACAGCCTCAAGCTGCGGTAGATCCAATTTGCTTGCGTAGATAACTGTGTCATCTGCGTACATGTGTACATTTGAGGATTTGCAGACATTAGGCAGATCATTTAAAAATAATGTGAAAAGTAGGGGGCCGGGAATGGAACCTTGGGGAACACCACACGTGACTGGGAGAGGGAGGGAGTCGCTGTCAGTAATGGACACATATTGTGAGTGATCCGATACATATGATCAAGACCAGGTTAGCAGACGATCACCAATACCTGAGTTTTTTTAGGTTGTGCAGTAGAATGTCGTGGTCTGCTGTGTCAAAGGCCTTTGCAAAATCAAGGAAAATAGCTCCAGTTAGGTCTCCGTGTTCCATGCCAGTTTGGATGTCATTGCAAACTTTTAAGAGGGCAGTTGTAATGGAGTGATTCGGACGAAAATATGATTGATCAGGGGTCAGGTAGTTAGATTGTTGGTAGTACTCACATAGTTGCGTATGGACTTATTTTTCTAAGATTTTTTGACAGTACTGGGAGCAATGATATTGGGCAATAGTTAGAAATTAAAGTAGTGTCACCACTTTTATGGATAGGCAATGCTCTGGCAGTCTTCCAAAGTTTGGGTATGTACCCAGACACCAAGGATTCATTAATGAGGGTTGTGACAAGTTTAGCAATTGCCGGCGCACTGAGCTTCAACAGCATTACTGGGAATTGATCAGGTCCAGACTGGTTTTTCATTTTTAGATTATTAAGGTGTTTCTTAATGACACTAATAGGTACAGGTCTAAAATTTAACTTGTCTATTTTGGGTCTATGCAAATTTAATGGGTCCTGATCCACATTTGTAGTTTTAGGATGTGTGTCATTTATTAGCTTGGCAATCAGGGCAGTGGAGTATACGACAAAATAATTGTTAAAGGCATTTGCTACATCTAAGGGAAGTTGCAGGGTTTGGTTATCCACTTTGACAGTGGAGGGTTGGGAGTGGATCGGGGGAGTTTGTAATTTATTTATGACTTTCCAAAAGTTTCTAGGGTTTGAGATGTTATTGTTCAGATTTTCACAGAAATATTGAGCCTTGGCCAATTTTGTTTGTTTTGTGCATATATTTCGCCGTTGATCTTTCATAGAGCCAGAATGCTTTAACTTTGACCACTATGAATCCCGAAACTGATACATTTGAATAAGGTCAGCTGTGATCCAATTCATATGTGCCCCCTTTACTCTCACCTTACGCAGCGGGGCATGCAGATTCCAAACTTGTAGGAGTTCAGACTGAAAGAATTCAAATCAGGGCCGGACTGGGGATTCCAAAGCAGCCCTGGAAAAAAAATCTATGCCAGCCCCATAAGTCATTGCGCCATATATTGTTGCATGTCATATGTCTTGCCACCCTAGATGATTGATATAAATATATATATTGCTTTTTCCAATATAAAATATTGGTCCTTTAAGAGTAAAATTTTTAATTATACAGTAAGCATACTCACATGCAGACACAGACCATCTCACTGACACAAGCTGATTGATACACAGCCTCATAGACAAACAATCTTACTGATATACAAAAGGTCATTAACATAAAAACACAAGCTCACTCAGTAGCAGGCACACACACACACACACAAGCAAACCCACTCACTAGCAGTCGCGCGCACACACACAGCTTAATGGTGTCTATAGCCTGTCCCTGCAGGCTTTTCAATGTAAACACTGACTTTTTAGAGAGAAGGCAGTGTTTACATTGCTTCCTAATGACAGACACTCAGACGGTCACTAGAGGTGCTTCCTGTGTCAGTGCGGATTGGCTAAGATCAAGCTTGATGCCATAGAGGCAGGGCCAGTCGAGGGGAGACCAGCACGACGTGTGGGGAAAAAAAGGTGAGTAAAAACACACATACGCACACATATACCATGACACAGACAGACCGTGACACAGACTCACAAACACCGTGACACAGACAGAAACACAGACACACCATGACAGACAGACACACCATGACACAGGCAGACACACACACACACCATGACAGAGAAACACACATACCATGACACACACACACCTTGACACACACACACCATAACACAGACAGACCATGATAGACACACACACACCATGACACAGACACACATTACATGACACAGACAGACACACACACCATGACACACAGACACACACACACACCACGACACAGAGAGACCGTGACAGAGACACACACACCGAGACACAGACAGACACACATTTCTTGACACAGACAGACACACACACACCATGACACAGACAGACCGAGACACAGACAGACACACATTACATGGCAGACACACACATACAATGACACAGACACACATTGCATGACACAGACAGACACACAACATGACAGACAGAGACACACACACACCATGACACAGACAGACACACACAATGACACAGACACACATTGCATGACACTGACAGACACACACACCATGACAGACAGAGACACACACACACACCATGACACAGACAGACACACCATCACAGACAGAGACACACACACAATGACACAGACAGACACACACACCATGACAGACAGAGACACACACACACAATGACACAGACACACACACATACACTCACACTGACACACATAATTGCTACCTGTGTGCTGGTGGCCGCTTGGGGAGCTCAGTCTGATGGCGGTCGCATGGGGGAGCTGGCTCTTCTGGCGGCCGCAGACAGAGCTCTTTCGGCGGCCGCAGGGGGAGCTGGTTGTTCTGACTATGCTGCACCGCCCTAGCGCGCTGCTTACTGAGACCGGGGCCAGAATACGACGTCATATTCCGGCCCCGGTCTCAGTAAGCAGCGCGCTGGGGCGGGGGAGCAGAGACAGAACAGTCAGCTCCCCCTGTGGCTGCTAAAAGTCCGGCCCTGATTCAAATGTACAGTCTAGATTTGGGATAAGGTTTAATCTGTGCCATGGGTGGTTCTTGTTGTCATTTAGAAAGGATTCAAGATTACATTTTTTTGAAGGACCAGGTGATTTTAACCTTGGGAGAGGCAGGGCCGGATTAACGTAGGGGCTGATGGAGCTGCAGCTCCAGGCCCAGGCCCATGGAATAGGCCCATTTAAAAATCTATATATATATATATATATTATTTTTTTTAACTTTTTTTTTTTTTTTTTACACCCTACTCTTAGGTTTGCCACCTGACTGGTATTTTACTGGCACAGCTGGTATTTGAGGCTGCATGGCCGTGCCGGTATTGCAGTAATACCGGCAATACAAATGCAGGTATTTTTCTCAGTATAAACAGAGATTACTCTGCAAGACCAGCATCAGCCAGTAGGGGTCACTGTGTGTAGAGAGAGGTAGGGATAAGAAGTTACAGCATATCCATGCCTCCCTCTACTACTCACTGATCCATGGGGGAGCAGCTACACAGCACAGAGAGTCCAGACAGCAGCTCTATAGCTCAGGTAAGTGGGGGGAAAGGCAGCAGGGAGACATAGGGACACTGAGACACTAGGGGACACATGGGGACACAGACACTAGGGGACACTCGGAGACCTGGAGACACTGAGATACTTGGGGACACTGGAAAACATAGGGACACTGAGACACTAGGGGACACTGTGGCACATGGGGACACTAATACACATGGGGATGCTGTGAGACATAGGGACATTGGGAGACACTGAGACATTGGGACACGGAGACACTGTTCTATGTCTCCCAGCCAGTGTCCCC